AGACCAGAATCTGCAAGTTTCCGCCTTATCAAGCGCCACCGAAGACGTCCGGGAACAGTCGAAGCCGCAGACGTTGGCCGCAAAGCGACAGTGCTCAAACAGCGCCCGAGCGGTCCCAAGGCGGTTGTGGCCCATCGCATCGTCATCCCCAGGCTTGAAGCTTCAGGCAGAAACCGGTGCAGGAGTGTTTGACCAACTTGACCTCCGCGCGGGCGCGGTGGCGGACAGGTGCCGCTGCATCCTGTCAAGCGCGCTTGTCTGTGGAAGGTGCGAGGATCGCTCACTGTGGCGGTGGCCTCCAACGAGGCGGCCACTGCGGCGTGCAGCGGCCTGCGGGGACGTCAAGTCACGAATTTGGCGCGTGTGCATGAGAGGCAGCCAACTCTCCTGCGGTGTGTTTGTGTGCAGAGCGACTCCTGGTTTTAGCGGAGGGTGTCGAATCATATCTGTAAATTTGTGCGTCGAGTCCAATCGAGTCTTCCCGGCATAGCAGCGCAACAAAGCCTTGGGTTTCTGCTGCTGCATTCCAACTGGAGAAAACACTTCTTTCAACGTATTATCATCGACAAATAAGAAATTCGTGGATTCTGAAACTTTGCTTTTCGATCTATTGGATTCCAACAAGCAAGTCATGGACACTGCTTTTCTCGGGCAGAACAGGAAGCCGAAGGCTATCTCTTTGTCTTCATATGAAAATTTCACAAATGAATGAAACATATTTGGCGACAATCTCCGGCGGCGTTGAATGATGTATTGAACCATCTCCGGCGGCGCCGCTGCTCTTTTAGCAAAAGTATGGGTATTTTTGAAACCGTGGCATTTTTGTGGCCAAGCGCTACTGGGAGGCATCCTCTGCCGCAAAGGACACATATTCATGTGCGTTGGTACATTTGTGTTTTTCACATGTGCGTATACATGCAATGGACAACAATGCGCCACCCAGCACAGCAAGCGGTCAGTGCGAGAATGTAGAAAGCACCCATGGTGACGGGCTGTATGCTGTGAATGGAAGATCTCCGAACGGGTCAGAAAGCCGTGACCACGGGGGGATCGTTGTCGAACGCACAGGTTGAAGCTTTAATTGAAATCGAATACATAGACATCAAGAATGGGGCCTTCTGTACTTGGTGACGGCATGGATGTACGATAACACCCTCTTGCAGACATAAGAAACACGCATTATGCTTGCGATAGATAGCTGAAGAACACATCATGCTACTATGACACCTGTGCTTTTTCAATCGTGCCACATCGCCGCCATACATATGGCCGAAATGGCGAACTGCCGAAATGGGCACACAAATACACCAGTGCTTTACTTGCGTTGGGGCCATAAACTCAGACGCAAGGTTTTGACCTAAGTGTGTCCGCACCTCGCCGGGCGCAATGAACCAGAGACAATGATGGTGGACTTTTAAGTCGACAATTGTCGCAGCAACTTGCATTCCTGCCACAGATCGTCCGTTTTCCAGCAACAACCCAACGCACCAAGACCAACATTATTACCTGCAGGAAGGAGAGAATCAGGACGACACGTCATCCTGGCATCACACCGCAGGTGCATTTTCCGAAGGGCTGATTCCGGAGATCCATGGCGACAGGACCGGCGATGAGGGACAAGCCGGTCGACGGACAGCCAAGGGAGCCGGCCATGCTCGCAGAGGTGCCGCGGAGGCCAGTGACAAGGGGAATGGGGCCCCGTCTCGGTGGGGCGGGATACGTGTCCACTTGCAGCCTGGCGGTGATCGACCCACGACTTCAAATGGGCCTTCCCCCGACGAGGATGGGCAGCAGAATATCTGGTGTAGGTGCGCAGGTCTTCTGATAGCGCTGCAGGTTTTGCAAAGCTGGCATGGCTGCCGGGAAGCTAGGTTCGTGCAACCTCCCGGCCGCCAATGACGCACAGCGTTGTGTGCTGTCGTTGCTTTCAGCGCTGATGGACTAGTTACTTTAGCGGACAAGAGCTTTCGAAGCGCACTGCTTCAGGATTGTCACTGGAATGTTTGTGAGTATCTGACTGTTGGAATTGCTCGCAACGATGGATGTTTACGTGGGCGAGTTGGAAGCTTGGTGGGGTTGCTCAAGGAGGCGAGAAGATGACAAACATTCAGTGACAATCTGTACTGTTGGTGAAGGCGCTATGTCGATTTTGTTATGCTCAGAGTCAATTTGACGCTAAGCTCAGACCCGATCCCCACCCCCCACCCTCCTTAGTGTCAGTCCTTATGTCGATGCAAGGATGACTCAGCAACATTGTGTGACAGTAATATGCAACTTTAGGTTATTTTGAGAACAAAAATAGTCAAAGTTGTACTGGTTTCAGAGGGTTGGGATATGGGATTATATATGGCATGATAGGCGAGGCAGGCAGTCTTAATTTCTGTAGATTGATCCATTCTATTGCCTTTTCTGAGCATCGAGCATTTGCAGGTGGTTCAAAAACAAGCCATGAGTTGCTTGTATCTGATCCGCGGGGCTTTGGGGTACCTTTCCTCCTTATGTCGATTTTGTTGCAATTACATAATATCTTGGCGTCACAGGTCTGGATCCTTCCCCCCACCCCCCTTTTGCGTCAATTTGACGCTAAGCATAAAGAAATCTACATAGCGTCTTCCTTTGCTGCGATACTCCAACATTCTCTTGCAGTTGTATGGGCGTCCAGCTACTGCGCTCAAAACACCAAATGTTGAAGGGGAGGAAACATCCCAAGCATCAAGCTGTGGTGACGTACTCCCTGTGCTGCTGCAAGAAGCCCTATATTTGGCATTGCAGTGATGTGCTATCTCGTGTTATTTCATGCGTCTTTGTGTCCGCATATGCGTTTTGCTATTCTCGTATCTTTCGTGATTGCAGCTCACGTTTTGTTCCCTGTACTTGTTGTGCTCCCAGTTCCCGTGCTGGAGTCCCAGTTATGAGGGAAACGAGCAAATACATGCGAACAAGATTATACGCAGAATAATGCTCATTATCATCTTTCAGGTACCAGATCATTGCTGTTCCATGTCTTGGCAAATTGAAAAATCAAATGTTGTATGCATTTAATGCAATCACCGACTAATTTTCCAAGTGAACTTCTTATCTATCTCAATGCAAGACAGATAGATATCCGTGTTCTTGTCTGTATAGCTTAAGCACAGATGTACGGTTAGAAAAATTCCAATTATGGGAAGCATCAAGGCAGCCGTTGCGAAAGAAGTGGCGGAAACAGTGTAAGGTCCCTTGCTGGGGGGATTTGAAGCCGCGGCAGAAAACAACAACACAACAAAAACCACATATCGCATTCGTACATGAACACAGCTGAATGACTGCTTTGTGGACAGTCGTGATGCAGATGATCGCCTCATGCACGCCAGATCATCCCAACCAAAGTCATCCACGACGACCAAATTAGGCGGAGAGTCAAATCAGAAGAAAGGGCGGGGAGTGGGGCTGTTTGGATACGAAGATCGCCGCATCTATGGATTCAACAGATCTGAATCTGCGGGGAACAGAAATCCCATCAGGTATGTTCGCCGGCGATGAGCTCGGTGTTTTCGAGATCCTCACCGAAAATGCTGTAGATGAAAACCACATCTGGGCCCCTGTCTGAGCTTGTATCATGATCTTGCCAGGTCAGCGAGCTTCTCAATACCAAACGAGCTGCAGGAATCAATTTTGAGCTCCAAAGAAAGTTTTGATCTCAGCGGAAAATAGCTGCAGCACGCGCAGCGATGCGGCCACTTGTTAACTGCACAACACTTGCCATGTTCCTTCCAAATTCCGACCCATGAGGCGTAGCAAGCATTGAGAGCGTTAAATTCAGCAAAACAACTCACCTGTTACATTTTCTCTGAGATTGCGGGTTCCCGTTTCAAAGCTTTCAAAGTCTAGTGATGCACTATTGCGCTTGACATGCACGAGAAAAAACAACCCTTTCCCACGGATTGCAGCCACCCGTTTCCAGTTGCAGGGATCGATCCCCTGGGATCGGCCAACCCGACCCGGAGCTCGGCAGTGCCCGTGGGGCTCACCGACCCATGAGCGTCTCCCGCCTCTATGGCGTGGGGTCTGCTTCCCCGTCTTTCAGGGCGGGCGGCCCCAAATCACATGGAGGAGCCTCCGGCAAGGCGACCTCCAGATCGTCTTCCTCCAGCGCCTGGAGGCCCGCCGGCACCAGCACCCGGCCCAAAACCCCGCTGGCCACTCGCCACCCGCACAGCTTTGCAGACGCAAAGACAAGTCGGGCTGTGTCCGCTCCGCATCAGGTGCATTGACGCATTGATTTCTGAGCAACGAGTGATTGAATATTGATTCAGTAATTGATGCTTCAGCACTTAGTGAGGTGGAAACAAGCTACAACAGGCTGAACCCTCTCGTGGAAAATGCTCGCAAGTCATTGTGCATACATGCGTACATTTCATAGTATATATGTGCACACACAACCTATCATAAATGCACACATAGCATTGCATCGTACTTCATACTGGCATTACTCGTTGCCCGAGCTGTTGTACGGAGCAGCTCTTTGTTGTGCGCGTCTTGCCAGATGGGGTCAGTGTGGATGGCGACATGCCAGGCGCCTCCTTGCAGGCGCAAGGGCAGCGCCTTGTCAAGAGTAATAAAAAGGCATAAAGCGGATTGTCGCCCTGTACCAGGTAGGCACGACAAGCGGCGGAGGCGCCCGCAGGGGGCAAAAGTGGATCGACAGGCCGTCGGCACCGCCACCGGGCGATCGCGGCCGCCCTCAAGAGCGAAAGCGCGCCGGCAGCAAACCCGCCACACCGTCTGGCCAGGGTGTCCACAGAACGGCCGCGCAGGCCTCACAGCGAGATCAGCCGCATCACGTCATCCAGAGAGATCATCCAACTCATGATGCCATCCAGCACGCCGGGCCGGGTGAGCCGGGGTGGGGGTCGCAGGGCGTCGAAGTGATAGGTGGCAAGGGTGTGTGTGGCGGGACCACAGGGGATGGGGAGGCGGAGGATGGGCCCGGGCAAGGGGGGGAGGAGGGGGACTACGGCATGTCACTGGAGGAGTACATCTCCCAGATGAGGACCACGCCCGCTAGGAAGAACAGCTTCACGGGACTCAAGAACGGGAGGTGGGCGCTGAGTGTGCGGCATAGCGTGTCGACAGAGGACGACAACGCTAGCAAGAGCCAGATTGGTGAGGGAGGAAAGAGAGGGGAGTGGCGGCTATTAAATGGGGATCACTTTTAACAAAACTACAAGTCAAGCCCCATCCGTGTTATGTCCAGAGTGTTGTCACACTTTTTCCCAGCTGCTGCAGGCAACCGATGTATAATAGCCCCAGGTGGGCGAGAGAGGAGGCGCAGTATGTCTTGAGAGCAGCAGCCAGGGCGTGCCAAACGTTATGCTTGAAGCCCGTGGGCAGCGCCGGGGATGTTTTGTTCACAAATCTGTTCCAGGGTGTGGTTGGATGCCTAATAATGTTCTCTACCCCTGTCTCCAAATCCCCGCAGTTTGTGTCAGGGTCAATGCTCAATCGATGGAGTCGATTATTAATGGCTTATGCCACCATTAAAAGCGGCCCCAAAATACTTAGTTCTGATTGCTACCAACATGCATAGTAATGAAATTGGTGCATTAATCAATTTGTTGCCATTCTCGTTCAGTTGCAGGAGCTCTGCTATCGGACGCATCGGACGGGGAGCACTCCAAGACGGAATTAGAGTCCTGGAGGTGAGGTCGGCAATGGAATCGTAAATGGTGCGTCTAGGTCAACTGTGTGGTGCAATTTTTCAAATTTTTGAATAGAAAATTAATAAGGACTTTAATCAGTATCAAACGTTTGGAAGTTACAAATCGGAAAGTTAGGCATGCTCAGAATGAAACCGCTTGAAAATGGATTCCAAACCCTAGAGATGTGATACTCTGCATTGAATTTGTCGGGATTGGCACATCGTAATGCTCAGCAATCACATTGGCCACCAGCGCTAATTTGACGTCTTTAGGGTTCCAACCACAATAAAGGCAACCTCAAATAATGCATAAACGCGATATCCAAATTGATACGATTTACAAACCCTGGAGGTGCAGCAGGCAATAAACGTACATTCTGGGCCCCTTACAATGCTCATAAGGGCGAAGATCGGCACCAAGTTTGTGTTGCTCTTCCCCGATTGGGGCCTAATGGATCCACAATAGATGCCGGTGCCACACATAGACGTTAAGCTCTCACTAACCAGCAGAACAAAATGAAAGCAAAGTCAACGTTCGTGCACAGAAAAGGGTGTAATTGGGGCTTCGTCGGATGAACCTCTGATCTATCCCGATGTTGAAATGATATTCCAATTTGTGAAAATACCACACTTTTTTAGATTTTGACGTTCCTGACCTCGAATCAGGACTTTGGTTACATATGAGCAATTTGCATCTTGTAATTTTGGTTCACATACACATACATAATCAATTTCCACTTGGATATCAAGTTTGATATTCTATCCATCGATAAGTGGCTAACAGGTTTCCCAATAATCATCTGCGGGGACCAGAATGGGGCGCAACACTGGCTCCAACACCCCATACTTCCAAAACTAGCGACTTTCTTGAGTTCTTACTGCTGCGTAGTTACCATGATACATGAGATATCCGATATGACGTACGCTACGATTGCTGATCCACATCGATTGTTGGTATTTGTGGTCACCGCTTATCATATCAAAAAGCACTGCATTCAGCAGAAATATGTGACCGCAACGAACGATGCGTTCACCATAGCGCCGTGGCGGGCGCGTTGTGCTCTCTAGGAAATTGGAATTACCACACCGCTTGTTAATCATTGCAGCCGCTGACTCTCGCTAGCATGTGTTCTGAAGTGGAAACAATGACAGCGCTCAAGGCACTCTACTTCACACACACTCTCCGTCGACAATATCTTCTCCTTCCCCTCCTCCAGATCCAAATGGAGAAATCCAAGGTATTGGGATTTCTGAACTGCGCCCCTTGGTAGGAAGTGCAGTCCCGCTATTATTGAATGGAACAGTTTGTGAATTTTGGTGTTTGTCAAGATAGCATTTGAGGCATTGTGGCGCGCTCATTCCAGGCATTGACTTGCCGGTGCGCAGGCAGTACCGTGCCAATGCCAACGAAATTAACTAAAGTTGCTAAGTCGCTCCTCTGCATTTCACACCGTTCGCCATATACGTACCCTTCGACAGCAAAGCCAACAAATTGATTTCAGCGGCTGCACGCGTTCCAACGATTTGCACGCGCTGAAACACCGTGAGACTCAAATAGACATATCTGTGGCAAGCTCGATTGAAGCACAATGTTGTTCTCATCAGAATGACCTCGCAGGCCACATTTGGGGCATTCTGTGCACGGAAGCCCAAACCGCCTTCTGGGCGCGAGGGGAGGTCTTCTCACATTTGGACCAAAATCAAATAAAAAGATAGAAGTTAAGTAGCTCGTACGCAGCGACTCCTGATTTCGATTCCTGAACTTTCTTCCTACATCAACACTGTTGCAGGCTCAATCACTGTACGGTCGTGTAGCTAAATTGGCAATTCAGTGGCGACTCGTTTTGCGCTCTTGTCCCTCAGGTGCCAAATTTCGCCACGCCATGTGCAACGGCCTTGACCTTCGGCCCGCGACCGCCCTGCATCCCACCCACCCCACCTACGCCACGAGCGCCGTCGGCGACCTGGGCCAGTCCTACGGCGTGGGGGCCACAAAGGAGGTGGACCTGGGCTCCCTCTCCGCCCAGCTTTTCTTTCCCTTCCCACGGGCCTCAGGGCACAAGCCTGCCGTGGGGCATGAGTCCCACTGGGACAAGCGCCAGGCCAATGTGTGGGCCCGGCCCTCCACCGCCCGTCCGGCGTCCAGAAAATCGAGATCCAGTTGTCAACTCGAGGTGCCCGACGGAGGGCTGGAGGGCCATCGCTCGGATGAGGGCGCCGCGCTGGCGGCACAGTCGGTGAACGGTGCTGAAATGAGCTCCCAGGGGGGGTGTCTGATGGGGGAGTCGAGGCAGGAGAGGGCGTGGGGGAAGAAGGGGTCCATTCTCGCGGGGAGGAACATCCACAGCGCGAAGCCATCCCTCAGGGCGGACGCCGATATGGACCCTTCTGTCTGGGACGGGCAGGTCGGTGAGCTGGTGCAGGAGTGAGCGAGTGGCTGCAGCATTGAAAGAACTGCGAAACAGAAGCGGCAGGCATGCATGCCCTCCTTTCGGCCACAGATCATCAGACAATGGCGTAGGTATAAGTACACCAAAATAATCTTAAGATGTGAAACAAGGAACCCAAAACATCCAGACCAACAATTACGGTGGAAGGAAAGACGTCCTGTCATTAAGCGATAGAGGAAAGGCATTTTTTTGTGTCAGATCTACGTCTCCTTTTCTGGGATGGCAGAAGCCGGTGTTGTTGGCGGTACTGTGCATTCTTCCCTATGAGTTCTCATCTGTGTGCCAATCTAGCGCTTTAAGCACACGTGTTTATGTGTCTTCGGCATTCCGAACGCGATGCTTGGCGTTGAAGTTCAGATTCTTCTAAATTATTGGGATGATCTAGAATTGTTTGGTATCGCATGCCGCTTGAATCTGAGAGATGAATGTCAGTTTTGTTTCTGCATTTGGAGTCCCCCAAGGCAGCTGCTCCCACATCATAATTTTGGTAAAAATATAGCATTTCCGTAATTACGTATTATTTTCACATATTAGATATTAGTTACATGGCCAAAGCGCAAAACAATGCACATCTTGGGTACTCACCTTGCAACTATGTGGCTCAGTGTGGCCCTCTTTGTTTCTCATCCACAATTATATGCCCTTGCTCAAAATAGCGCTGAAATCGAGCAACTAATCTACATTTTGTCGCTCGAAAAATGCAGTGATTGGGTTGTTCCATGGGATCTCCCTTCACTGCGAGGGAAGTTACTAATACCTGAAATCTATCGCTACCTCTAGGCTTGCGCGCAGAGACCGCCTTCGAGACAAAAGCCGCCACCAGAAGCTCTGCATTTGTTCTCACCCCAGGCCTTCGTGAATGCTGACGCCAAGGGTATCTCTGGGCGGCCTCAGACAACGATGTCAATTGTGCGGGGACACTCTAGACCATTCTCTGGGCCCAACAGCTGCAAAACTTTGGCGGTCGACTTGCATCACTCTGAAGGCGAGCAAGTTTTATTGAACTATCGTTCCTTGTATCCCACTTGAAGCAACGCAATGCCAGTTGACGCTTCAAAGATCTAGCTCATCGGTGTACCGCGCTTAACAGGGTCGTACACAGGTGCGCTCAGCCCCCTTGGTTTTGGAAGGATACGAACACGCCTCGACGCTATCCACCTCATCAAGAAAGTCCGCTCTGAGTTCCTCCCCTGAGGGGGACCCCCTCTAGAATCGTCTACAGAAATTCCATTCTCCCTTGGGGATACACTTCCAATGAATACCTGCGCTTCATTGGCTCTTAATGCCGGGTTAGACTAACACGCTGTCATAGTCTTTTGAAATTCAGGCAATGTTGCTTATAACGCTGTAGCATATTTTGATGTACATCAAATACATGTCAGGCATTAGTCGAAGACATCTGTTGCAATTCCTGAAACGCTTATTTCGCACTACCATACTTACCCGTATGAAGTAGCCCATGAGAAAACATGAACCATCTGAAATTTGCAAACCAGGATTGTGCGTGCGCTGAAATAATTTACCGAGAATAAGTGCTTCTTTAAATGGACTTCGAATACTTACTGCAAGTTTGTTTGCAGCACCTGGAGTATGTGATTTTGCACCATCCGATGCGTGTCCATTGTGTTGTAGAGGGCAATGCGGCCCGTCCACCATCTAGGCAGAGGCCCCCTCCGGAGTCATTGGGACTGGGTCACTGCAAAGATGGGGCCCCTGTGAGCAAAAGGGTTCCAAGGTCGTTCAGGCAGATATTTGCAAGCGATGACTCTGAGGAGGAGCAAGGGACGGAAAAGGGCGATGCATCTCCCGAATTGTCACGGACAAACGATGCTTGGTCATAAGACGGATTCTTGGGCAATGGGGGAGAAAATTTCCCGTTGTGTTGGTTACTTAGGATGGGAGACCCTTAATTGGTAGACCATCAATGCATCATTCAAGACCCTTAGAAAGACTTTAGAAACGAGGGACTAGGCATTGCAAGTGCACACTTGCCTTTCTGCGCTATTTTCAGCATCCTTTGGCATTGCTTGCGAATCTTCCATGACCACAGAGAACAGTTTTAAATTTCTGCTCGAAAAATGCGTCACCTACTCATTGCGAGATCCGCCCCCCAAGGGGATAGGCATTCGCCCGGTCTACACCAAGCAGTTCGCTCCGCGACACAGTGAGTTGAACGTCATTCACTCAACATCACCATTGCGTTCACCATCTGCCCTATGACTTGATCTAATTTGTCATATTCATTCAATTTCGACTTCCGAAAATGCGCCTAAAGCCCATGCCCACAGAGAAGACGGTGGCATTGTAAGTTAAGCCGATCCCTTACACGAAACTAATTTGGGTGGTAGTTTCTTAAATTAAGAATGAGATGTCCATATTCTTTCCATGTTTGATGAAGGTCTCCATGTGGCTCTCCATTGCTTCAGCTTCACACAAATATTAACAACGCACCTTACAGGCAACAATAAGTGACCACACAACCCATTTCAGCACATGTGCCTAAATGCAAGTGTACACTTGCAACAACGAATCGCTCTTTGTGGGTTATCGGTTAATTTGAATGCACAAAATAGTAAACAATTCATATTGTCAACGACACTAACATTGACAACAATCCATATTTTCATGACATGACAATATGCATTGTTGGTCAACACCGGGAAGGCAGCACCACTCATACTCGCATCCCTTGTGCCTATACGATTGGTGATGGCAATAGCAGCTAATTTGATTATTAGATTCCATGGATGAAACCAACGCCAGTTCTCACTGCCAGTGGTTCCTTCACTGATTTGTAACTGGGCGGCTATGGGTGGGAGACCATGTGTGGACTATTACTTGAAATTCCTTTCATCGCATGAGAGTAAAGAATGGCTCCAGCAGAAACAGGAATGCTAATCGGGTTCATTCTCCACTAGACACGTCGTTATCAACGGCGATGCAGAGCCCTTGACCCACAAAAATATAATTAACTATCCTGTTAACGAGTTTCTGCCAAGGACGATGTTGGGTGGGCGTGCAACGGCCAGTCTGAGCCGTTCTGCCCCTTGGGTCAGTTTCAGGGCCATCACACGGCCGGTTTCTATCAACCTCTATACTTGGGGTCAGTTCTGCCCGGCAGGTCCAAGGGCAGTTGGGTGAACCTTGTACCTTGGGCGTAGACAAAGGGACCGGCCAAGCTGGCCCTTGGGTTTGGCGGGGAGTTTGGCGGCAAGTGGGAGCAGCTATTTTAGGCGCGACCCTTGGCGCCCCCCTATCTTGTTTCGCACCCATTCGGCCCACCCCAACAGAGTGAGTTTCCGTTCGCTGTGGGAAGGAGAGGGACTTGAGTATAAGAAAGGGGGAGTTGACTCAGGGTTGAGTCACCATCAGGGTGGCATTGAGTACTATGTGAAGCGAGGGCGCTTTGAAGAGGGTCGCCAATCGGGTCTTGGTTTAGTGAGGTGATGGACACCAAACTATGTGAGTGTAATGTACTGTCGTGTGGGGAACCCCAGTTGAAGGGCAATCAGTATGGCAGAAGCAGAATGTGCATGTGAACGTGTGGGTTGCCGTCTTCGACTTCCTCAGACTTTGCTTCGTTGAAACTCAGCCTGTGCTCACTACGGTCCTTGCGCATCATCTTCTGGTCAGTTTTCTTGGTTTTCGGCGCGTCGGAGCGAGAACCAGGGACCACGTTCGCCGTCGCGGGACGCGAACCCGAATGTCAGAAGATGCACTGTGGTCGGCCTACGGGGCGGAAGATGAACGAGTGAAGGCAGGGTTTGAG